ATTCCGAGTAACTCTCTAGATCTCGAGGTAGCCGTTGCAGAAGTTACTAATTTGAGTTAATCTTGAAACAATTACAATGTGCCTTTGCAGAGATATCTTCGGTTTAGTAATGAAGCTAAACGTACCTCAGCGTAAAGTATGAGAACTAACATGGGTTGTATGAGTAACGAAAACTAGAATATGAAAAAGCATCCAACTCAAAAAAGTTCTAGCCTGGGTATACAACCACTGATACCGACCTACTGAACTTTTTCGACCTTGAAGGTTAACAAAAGTTGACACGCACAAGTGTCGCAATTGGAATTGGATTAACAAAAAAGCATTTGCAAAGGTCTATTTCACACTAGAACGGCAGTTATTGCCTTAGTTCTGACATACTGATAGTAAAAAAAAGCAATATACCTATGCTAAGTTATACAAATTATTGCGCGGACAAGATATTGATCTGACATGGTAATAATTACAGCCAATTTAAGCACTTAACTGGCCTCATTTATAAACATTATATATGTCGTTGGCATAATTTATCAATGGTAAATATAAACTTGCAATACAATGTTGTATGTAATTCTATGGCTCGCTTAATTGGCACGAAAATTTTTTTATTAGGAAGGGTGGATGCCTTCCAAAGTCGTTGGAATAGAATAATCGACTATTCCAAACCGCTCGTAATATGCAGAGGTAGGCACATTTCAATCAGTACGAACATCGATCGAAATAGACGACGATCTGCTTTCGACATGTGCAAACCTACTTTCACCAGGTTTTAAAACTGGGTGAATTCTGCTTTTAAAGGGCAAAAAACTTGCTTTACCTATTTTTCACCAAGTAGGCAAACAAGTAGTCGAATAGGAACAAGTTTGTTGGCCGCCTTTAGGCGAGAAAGTATTATCTAGAGTTACACTTGTCGTATCCCTCTGCCTTGAAGGTCTGAACGTTTGTGGTGCTTGTAATAGCGGCAGTAACAGGCTTGTTGATGTGCATCCAGGCCTAGAAATTCAACTGCTGCACCAGCAGATCGCGCTGCAGCATCTCCCCCTTTTTCTCCCCATCCTTTTCCGTACTGACGTCGACTTCGTCCTGTTTTATAATTCACCTCGGCCGCTCTAGAAATACAGTAGATCTAGCAGCAACACCCAGAAAAAGCACAGCAGCTTTAATAGGAGCGCAGCAGTCAGAAGCTTTTAGCCTGATGTAATACCTATCTAGAACATACTACGGCCGGCAGGGCTTTTCTTCTACGCATCTTATATCCTAACTGGGCACGTGCCCAATATGGACGATACCCGTTCGGCTTTTTTGCTGATGCCGCTATCTGCTGTCGTTACAGTCCGCGCGCCCTCACACTGGAGCATCGTTTTCTCGTGAAAGAGCGTCAGACTGATAGGATAGACAGCATTTGGTTGGTTTCGGAGAAAGCACAGAGAAGGAAATGAAAGTCCAAAGCTGCTGTTCGAAGGAGAAGACCCAAGACTTCAAAACCCGGACGACGAACAGTCGGGCTTTCGTCGAATGAATTCGAAAGAAACTAGGTATGGGCTTTCAAGGGATGAGAAGTGAGTGAAGATCAGCAAAGTTAGCAATTTGATCGGAAGAGGAGAAGCCATCTCTGAGTTAGCTCAAGAAAGCAAGGGAAAGAGAGTTGGTAAGAAATAAAAAAACTTTGGTAAAGACGGTCCAATCCTGAATGGAAAGATATAGCCGCGCAAGGCAAGTCTAGTTCTTGATTCAGCACTTGGCAAGGGGTATTGCTGCCTGGGGGCATCTACAAGTCGCTGTTTGCATTACGGCTATCACAACCGGAAAGCGATGGCAGTAAAGTGGTTACCTTTGCGGTGTAGAGTACTTGCTGTGTTGCGGTCAATGTCGATTCAACTGAGTTGCTCGAACAATTTAGATCTTCGGCAAGTATCCTGGACTGAAGATTACGCAGGATAAAATCTGCAATAGATATACCGAGGTAGAATTTCGAAAAAAAATGTTAGAAACTACCCACCAAAATTTACTTTTACTGTGGTGTGTGTAGTTACGACTAGAATACATAAGGAGAGCTGCCCCTTATGTATTCTAATCGGAACAGGTTTTTCGTAGTTTCGCCTACTTCGGACACCTGTTCAGTTGGGGCGTTACCGTTACCATTTTAGTTGGCCCTATCATAGATTACATTTTTCTCCATGAGAATCGTTTTGTGTACAATATAACGCAAACGTACAACATAAATATTTAAGATGTATCTATCATTTTGTTAACGTATGCGATCTTTCAATTAAATGTATAGACAGATCCTATCAACAGCTTCTAAAATTCAAATGAAGCTAAATAAAAACAGTTTTACTCATTCAAGCGCAGACAGTTACTGTTAACATTCTCAAAAATCCATATAAACTGCAAAACTCGAAAAAATTCAAGTTTTGTGACAGCATATATGATCTGGAATCGCTAAGAAGAGCCGTTAAGTCTGGAAATTTATTAGGTTTATAGGAATAACATCATTAGGTAGTTTTACAGCGTCAACCGGAAAGGCACGATAATTTGAGATTACCTGTAGTTTCAATTAAGGCTGAAGTTCTATTGTTTAGAAAAGAAGTTCATAATGAATAACTGACCATCATGCTTAGTTTAGCAACTGAATATGTCGGTAGCTGACAAAGCTTCGACTGCGGAATCAATGAAGTTTGTTTAATATTTGTCATCAGAAGGTAAACAAACTGTTTTATTTTCTAAAAACCAGACGTATTCATCTATATATATATATATATATATATGAATGCATGAACGCAGTATGGTACACCTCAGGTATATGATTCAATTACAGTTCCTTGAAAATCCACTGTGCTAGGTGTATTACGGTTCCTTGGGCTGAGGTCTTTGTTTGGGGAGATACTTGTCATAGTGGGGGGTATTACCAAAGTTCGTACGACGGTTAGTTTAAGTATACTTGTATGACCCAGGTTGAAATACATACGTCACTTAGGCGCATATTAAGTAAGAGAAAATAGCATTATTTTTAAAAGTACGCAAATACCCGAGCAAGCTGCTCACTTTCAAAGGTTCAGGGCCATCCGATAAGCACCCGCGTGAATACAGAAAAACGTATATGTAGCCGGAAATAGGTCTAATAACTTGGTAAAAGTGTTTAGCGCCTAATTTACGACATCGTAAACTTTGTCAAATTATTATGAATTTGAACACGGCTTTTATGAAAAACGTCCACTCTGTTAAGAAAAAAAAATCTGTATTTATTATGGATGGAGCATTGAGAATACAAATAGATTTTGTAAAAATAGATCGTATGTTTTTCAAGCCCATGTCAAAAATAAGTGCAGACTAAAGATAGCCGTTATGAATTCGACTGAATAACCACCTCGCATCAAAGTGCTGGAAGCTTTTTTGTTTACGTAAAATTGTTACGTAGAACTGTTAAAAAAACTATAAAATACTTATCGCAATTTGATATTTGCGGCATATTATTTCTGATGGTGTATTTATCGCTACGAATAGCCCATAGTGGCCCAATAATAGTTTTGTCTGTTTACTGGGTTCCTCTCAGGCTTATTAACTTGACGATCTTATTGCTCTTAATAAGCCTTTTTATTAAATGCATTCTATATTGTATAGTATTATGCATATACAGAAGGACATGTGTGTCTAACATTATTAATTCGTTGTTACTTGTTTGAACCCACTGGTCTAAGCAGCCATTCAAAACTTCATTCATTGACTTCGTTTGCATGCTGTTTACACTATATAGGGAACCTACACCTATATGGAACGCACATATAATTTATTCAAAGAAACGCTGTAGAGCTTCGAACTACGAAAATTAATTTATTAGTCCAAGACAAAGCTATTCGGCATATGGTAACAGCTTTTTTTTTGTGAAAACATCTGCAGATGCCTCCAGTTTTCTAGCTCATTGAATATCTCCTTAACTATGCCTTGCAGCTAGTTAAAGAAAATAGCTGGTTATATGATGGAGTCGTTTTCGCTCAAACTTCTCTAAGCGACTGGCTAAAAATGAGAAAAATTGAAAATGTTCTATAACGTCAATGACACTTTATAGTTGTGGCTCATCGAGACCTATGATGACCTTATTAGAAGTATTATCATGGCACCACGTTTCACATAAATGCCACTGTTTAAGTCTTTAGCCCCTTCAGAGTAACGGTCGCTTACATTCAGTAGATGTAAAAATGTACATATTTTCACCTGTTCGTTATTTATGGTAAGTTCGTTGTCAGTAAGGTGATAAAATCTTCTAGATACAGACATGTCTAAAAAGATAGTGCACCCAAATTACAGTTTGTAATACTTAGTATTTTTGTCTGAACGATAAAAAGGAAGCAGTCAATCTCGATATCTTCGAAGTGACGAAAATCAAACACAGTGCAATCAAAATGTTTTGATATTTTTTTATATTGCCCGACTGTTTTTATTTCGATAGTGCGGCTACAGAACTTAAATGACAACAGAGATCACGGAAAAGATAGCCTGGTGTCAACCGTGTTTTCGTAGACCCGCTAAATTCTACATCTTCTTAACGATTGAGAAAAGGTACCAATAGGCTAAGGATCAAGCTTCACGCAGGTTTCGGGTGGTACTGCAATGTATGCTACTAACTGCATTGATATATGGTAATCTAGTCTTAATGTTCACAATGTGTTGGAGCGTCTTCCAATAAGTAGCCTGTTTCCAAATATCATTAACGAAAACAGAGCTATGCCCCATCTTGGAGTAACTACTTTTAGATATGAGCAATCTTTGCAGCTTCTAGTGAACACTCTATAACTGGAACTTAAATAAGGAATCGTCAGAATTAATATAAATTAGACAATGTTGTGCTTCGTTAATTAATAGTAAAAGACGAATCCCTTGACGTCCGCAAGTCCGCTGATTTCTGTTCACAATAAGTACCTTTCTATTCTTCTCGACGAATCGGAACAACTTGATGTCACAAAAACACATTGATAATAGTACATTGTTATTTACTTTCGTTTCAGCACGTTTGTCGCCGCAGTTACGCTACCTAGAACTAGTCAGCACTAGCACGAAGCGTCTCATCAAAGCGTGGACACGCAACAGTAGCCCTGCACTAGTCTTCATTACATCAGAAATACCATGGCAACAGCAAAATAAATAAAAGAAAAAGGCTACGGATTTAAAGCAGACGACGGTACTCTTCAGTGTCACCCGTATCCAGTACTTAAAAATGAACAAAAAAGAGTTTGGATAATAACACTAACAATAACAAAAATCATATAGCCTTACTTCTATCCATTACAAATCAATTATTCCGACGTGCAACTATCGGTCTACGTCGAAACACCTCAGCGAGGCGCTCCCTAGCGCTAGTGTTTGCCCAAACACTCATTAATACAAAACCTGCACCACTAGCATTTAATTTTCTACCGATCTTTACGTATCGGTGACTCCGTAAGGCGACCCTATTTATCACGTAGCAACTATTTATTTATTCATCGATCGGCCGACTCATCTCGTAGCCGCTTTATCTGTCTCTTGATCAGACAAGATCCGCTAATAGACTCAGCCGAACCAAAGCTACTAGACGCCCCAGGGCAAGCATAGTCTTACTTTCATTGCGCTTCTTCGAGCACATTAGTTCTGTCCTCCAGTAAATGATGCCATTCGGAATCCGTCGCTTTACTCTGCAGCGATCGTTTTCGACCGAGAGTGGCGGAGGCGGATCGAAGCTACCCAAATCGAAATCGCACGATGCCGCTGGAGGCCATGGTAACGTGCACGGCAGTGCCACTCACGGGGGTTCAACTGTGGGAGGAACTGGAACGCTATTATCCGCTTCACGATCAGTTGACCAGGCGGATCTGCGACGCTTGGGCGATCCTCCCGGATATTCAAGCCAGAGCGGAGGTGGTGCCGGTGTCCGACAGGGCCAGGGAGGAGGTGGAGTCAACCACCAGAACTCAGCCGTCAATTCAGGAGCTTCCCAATCATTGGCGGCCATACAACCTCCGAGGTTACCACCCAGGGGACCACCAAGAAGATCAGCTTCAGTGGATCAAGCGAATCCACCTTCTCAAGGTGAGTACAGGCAAAGCTTTGCTTTAAAAAGTTATCAAATTAGAGGTTTCGTTTGTACCATACGTTTTTCCGATACAAAATGTACCTGCCGTATTGGCTATGCGTCCGATGATACCTTAAAAAAGACACAGCAATACTGGGAAGTTTAATGGTGATAAACGTAACAAAAGCTTCGTTGGTGCTGCTATTTACCAGCTACTAAGCACACTTACCCTATTTGTCTCGAGAGGAAAATATATTCCATACATAAACGATAAATCTAGTGGCGGGGTACCAATTTTCAAATCATATATGCATGTGTGATAGAAGAAAAAAACCGCTGTATCTTTAACTGCCGTTTTAGTATATTGGGAACAGCAGTTATGCCAATCACTCGCTCTTACTTACTTTCTTTGCCGTTATTGCATTTGGCGACTGTCAAATTGACCCTTTGCCTAGTTTCCATAAGAAGGCATTCATCTTGCCACCAGCTTAAGCGGCATGCGCAAAATTTAGAGTGCAATCAGCAGTTTCGCGGTAATCTAACAGGAAACTGCAAATATGAAGTTAATTGACGGCTCTATCAGCCAACAGCTTATTTACGATTCCAGTAGTCACAGTCAGTTTAGAAGGGTTTTTGTATAGAAGTGTATGTCAACACAAGACAACAAGCAGTATACGTACCCTATGGTATGGATTTTAAATTATTGTTTTTAGAAGTAGGCACAGGACTTCGCCGACATGTAGGATCCTCGACATATCGTTAGCTCTCACCTGACAAACTATTCCAGTGTATTTTGTTTTTGATCCTCTCCGTTCTTCTATGCTAATTGTCTCTCCGCTCAGTGGACAACGTATTTGTGCATTAAATATTTACAAAAATGTAGACCATTCTTTCTGACGCTGGCGAGCTACGACAATAATAATATCAGTCAGTGAATTCCTTTGCTTTTTTTGCTACCAGTAGTAACTGGAAATGGATGGATCTAATAAATAGATTATTTCCGTCTTTACTTTTCTGCTCAGAGAGGACATCCTTGTCTGCGAGCTCTACTCTCACGGCAGCTGCCTGTCGCGTTTTGGCTGTCCTGTGTGGACCGAGTCTCTTGTATATATATTCTTCTCCCGGTGCTGCCCGTTGCCCTACATTGCTCTCTTCCGATTCGTTCACTGCTTCGCTCTCTCCTATTTGTTCACCATCTCCGACATAATGTTCGCTTTAATAAAAAGTACCGTCGATTATCCTGTCGTTGTCCTACGTTTTTTCGACGCAATCGTCCTCAGATTTTCGTCAGTCCTTTCAAGTTTCCGTTTCTTTGCAGATCAGCCATATCACAACGTTACCACACCGTAGGGGCGCCTCTGACCGTTCCGATGTCCGTTGTTCTTTACAGTGGTGAATATAGCCCCAACGTCAGCAGGCAACAGCGTCGTACTGTCTGCCTGCCGTTGCTCTCGAAAACATGGTGATATTAGCTGCGGTGGCAATAGTGGTCGCGTGGAACTTAGCCTAGGGGACCGCGAAGAGAAGAATGGGGTAGTCGATCTACGGGGAGAAGGAAAGAAAACAAACGATAAAAATACCGAGGGCCACCAAAAACCTCAACTGTTATTGCCACTATTCAGCCTCACGCTGTATAGAAGGACTTGGTAAAGGAGACACATTCTTATACGTTTCGTTAGCCACTTCGTATACTAAAGGTTTATAGTGCTGTTCTCAAGGGAATAGATATCAACGGCCGGTGAGGTTCAATGGCTTTATACACCAAATTCTTGGAAAGGAGGAAGGAACTCAAAAGACAGAGAAGGAGACATGGAGAAAGGGAAAGAGCGAGAGGCAGAGAGAGAGAGAGAGAGAGAGAGAGAGAGGGGATGCGAATCAAACAAAAGTAGCCAACGCGTAGAATGATGTAATAATATGTTCCAGAGATAGTTTTAAGCATCTGCTGTAAGAAAGCCTTTACGACAAATGATTCGACAGAGTTCTGCAGAATGTCCTCGACAACTCACATTCGCTTGACTTTAAGTAGCTTTCGGTTCGCTGGTAATGAGAAAGGTCAAGGGGACACAACACGAATCGTTGTAAAAGGACAAGTTATTAGTACTGGCAACGGTGGTATAGCTTAAGAAAAAATCTCTGTACCAGTCCGAGTATATATAAGCACTGAAGCATCAGTACATATTGGATAAATATTACATAATACAAAGAATATACTATGAATCAGCTGTGCTTATTAGAGTGTATATAATTATGTACCGATGACGAGTAACTAAACGCTAATTCATTGACCTTAAAATTGACCTATTCTATAGAAATAAATCAGTTGATAGTTCGAATATGCTCTGTGACTAATACTATCATTAAGAGACCCGTAATTAAACAGAAAATTTACTTTCACAACTCACAGAGCATTTTCACGGAATGGCCGCACTGAACGACTGCCCCGAGGTGGTAATTAACAATCGCCGCCGGAGATGTGATTCAGAAAATAGCAAGTTTTTATAGCACACGTTGTTCGTCGCTTTGCCGAAGGTGTCTGCACGCCAGTTACAGCGAAAGGGGGTGTGGGTACGTTGTTTACTTCCATTCGACTGCCAATTCCTGATCCCAGAGCAACCCTCTGCTTTTTCTTGTTGTGATGGCAGTAATAGTGACAAGAAGCCAAAGGCAAACGTAACGAACGGGCAAGGGCTGCTTTGTACGGATAGTATAGCGGTAATACAGCTCCTGCAAAATGTTTACTGCCACCGTTGCGAACCATTATACAGAAGAGCGATCCATCCTGCTAATTTGCAACATACATGATTCCTTCGCTGAAGCTACTGCTATTAGTTGAAGCTGGTTATCTTGTCTTCAATGTTTTTCACATTTCAGAGTTCCGAAGATGCCGTTGTCCACAGCTGCACGAGGTTGGACTAGACTAGTAGCCTGAACATCCGACCGGCCGGGTCATGGCCCTTGATCGGCTGCTCGCAACAGTTTGACAAAACTGCAGTGGGTTCTGATAGATAACCGACATGCTTCTTCTGGCAAAACAAAGTAAAAATAGACCGATTCGTTCTTTACATATAGAGATGAAACAACTGCCCTTACAGCCGTAAACAATAAGGTCCGTGTCGTTCGCACATCGCGGCTGTATTCAGGCAAACTGTCCCTAATAATAACTAACACGTGACATGTACGTCCACTTTCTCTTCGTTTCTACGAGACACACTTCTTGCGTATAGAACCTGAGCGCCTGTTTTCTCTAAACACTATCATTACCTCACTGCGACATTATGCTAATCAGTGAGTTTTGTAAAAGCAAATGGGCAATTAGCTTGTGATAAGGCTATCATGACTTTCATGACAAAAAATATATTTTTTTCGCCTTAGTAGACAGAGTTGCTAGTAACGCTTACACTGCGGCTATATATCTCTATGTTAACACTAGATTTTATTCAGCTCCAGAGAGGATAAGCTCGCAAAGGAAACGTCAGCTTGCAGCATGGTTGCAAAGACGACCATTAATAAAAGAACAGAGGTAGCGGCCATGCTTCTGCTACTGTCCCGTTTCCTGACTCCTCTCTTGCTTTATGCCGAGGTAGAGGCTACGCCAAAATGCCTCATTGCTTCTGACACTAAAAGAACGAACTTTGCGATCGACGACGATCTTCCCAATGGAAAGTCACGTTGCAGTACGAGCCTGACAGCAGGTCCCGCTGTTGAACGGTTCGTGCAGTAGTTGGTAGTAGCAAGATCACAGATAGTTCTCTTGATCGCTGATAGGCACTATATCTTCGCTAGTCGTATGGAGGCTTTAGTTGCGCACGACTTGCTCTTTAGGACGCCCGAAATAAAGATATTGACACATTGATTAGGATTTTCTAAGTCAGCTCCGATCTATTGTCCTGCGCCACGGCCGCAAACGTCCCACCTTCCAATTGCTAGCCCTATTTGCGCTGAGGCCGTTCATACCAGCTTGCTTCCGCGACCACCGTAAGCCCTCTTATACCAGTAAGACAGACATAAAGAAAGCAGATTAGAGTTTTGTCTGCGATTTCTACGACTACGACTGCGGCTATAGTATTACCGTTATCGATGCTATTCTTGTTGCAGCTGCCGTCGCGACTGTGCTAAAAGGTGATCGAGCGACTCGAGCTTTTAGCTCCTCTTTGCTTGGTCGCGTTGTCTAACTTGATTAGCGTTTCGGGGGGCTATTTTCGAGCTAGGCATGTATAATACAAGAGCGCCGAGGCTTAGCAAACGACCAGGACTAGTAAAAGCTAGATGAACGAACAGGCAGATAGGATTAATGAGTGAGTTCGTCGTTTTCCGGAACTCTTCACAGTCCTTTTAGCCTCAACATGCCGCTTACTCACGGTTTCAGCAACAAAGAGCTTAATTTGCGACAAGTGTTAATAGATTTTTTTTGTAAAAAAATCAATTATTTGCTTTTCAATAATTGTCTTTTCAATACACACGCACCCATTTATGTACACATCAGATCCATTATATCAAAATAAGAACATGAAAATAGAACATGTTGCTTCCGTGTATGCATGCTTTAGTTCGTATATTAAAACAGGACCAATCCAGAGCGTCCAAAAAAAATCAGATAAAACCTGCGAAGTATAGACAAACATGTGAAAAGAAGATTGACATTAATAAAGAAATATTGCTACATTTGATCTGAAGGGAGTTTCACGTGCAGGATTTGATATACGGAAGATATGGAAGGTAGATTTGTCGTACTGGGCACTGGAGGCGTCAATTCGGGGCGAAGCCAGCTTCCGTGCACGTGCTGCATTTGCTTCCACCCGCCGAACTGTAGTGTCATTTCGGTGTTGACAAAAACGCCCTTCTTTCGACCATACGTACCGTGCCTTCGCGTAGCAGTAGCAGTAGCAGCAGCAGCAGCAGTCTTTTGCTCAGCAGTAGTTTTTTGGGGGTGCAATGCGTCTTTTGCCGACGTATCGCAAACCCCAGCAGCCGCCTCCTTTGAGAGGCTACTCCACAAACCTGTCCATACAGTTAGACT